AAACTCAATGGGGACACCATTCAAATATAAAATAGAAGGAAGAACTGCTGGGACTGAGTTCCTGTTTGAAAAAAAGCATCCCTTTGGTTTTATCAGCATTTAGGACAAGTTTGAGACTGAACAAATCAGTCTGGATGATGTTGAATGCAGATTTCAAAAGCTGGAAAACCTTAGCAACAGTTTTAGCTCGACAATAAACAACTGTGTCATCAGCATAGAAATGTATGGATGCATTAGGGATGATGTGACCTAAATTACATATGTAGATTGTAAAGAGGGTGGGTCCTAACATGTAATCTTGTGGTACACCATTGTTAACAGTTAGATGGAAGAAGTACCATTATGTTGAACACATACCTCTGATCTGAGAGATAGTTAGGGTCAGCTTGGGTTTCCTGAGCTGTCCCTTAGTTCTGCTGCTATAGACTTAGACTACTAGAGGACAAACTGACCTCATTTCCTTAAATGAATTGTTAAAACTGAATAGTTTTCATTTGATACCATTTCTATCTTAACATGTGATTCTTGACCTGCCATTGTGTATCTATTCCTACAAACCCAGCCGGTGGAAGCAGATGGTCCTCTTGTCCTGATCCTGGTTCTGCTAAAGGTTTCATCCTCATGAGGGAGTTTTTCTTTCCACTGTCGCCTTCATGCTTGTTCAACATGAGAGTTCAGTGATGGAGTTAAACTCAAAGCTGCTCCTCAGATAAATAGTCATTTATTTTGTACATTGTAGTCCCTCGTTTATTACGGGGGATTCGTACCCTGAAGCCCCGCGATAAGGGAAAAACCGCGAAGTAGGAATAGTAGTACAAGTAGTAAGCAGTAGTTTATTTTATTGTTTATATATATATATATATATATATATATATATATATATATATATATATATATAAAGTGTTTTAAACCCTTTCCACACTCTTGTAATATTCTTAACAATGTTTCTAAACTCTAAACGCTCTAAAACAGACACAATGTCATCATTTCAGCTCCCTGCCTCTTCTGCTCTTTGCCACCAGCAAGCGCTCTTGGCCACACCCATTTCTCTGCTTTGCTACTCTGATCAGCTGATCAGCTGCAGCAGGAAGTTTATCCTGCAGTCAGGGTTTAGAGCTCACCACAGAACAGAATCTGCACTGGTGAAAGTTACCAATGATATTCTCACGGCCTCTGACAATGGACAGGTGTCGACACTGGTCCTGTTAATTCAGTTTGATTTATTTATAAAGCACCAAGTCACAACAGAAGTCATCCCGTCACTGAACAGTAGTCCCTCACTGCTTCGTGCTTCGTTTATCGCGGACTCACTCTGTCGCAGTTTTTCAAAATAAGATTGGACATGACACACAACTGACTGATTGATAGATGAGCCGCACGATCAGCATGGAATTTTTATTTAAAATAAATTATTTTAAATTATTTAGCACCTGCTGCACATTTGTGCAGCCCTGACTGAAACTCTTTAGATTATTTCTTTGTAGATGTTCACATAACTGACCTGAAACCATTTTCTCTAGAATTTTTAGATGAAAGTTAGATTAGATATAGGTCTATAGTTGGCCAGGACTCCTGAGTTAAGGTTATGTTTCTTAAGTAAAGGTTTAATTACAGCAATCTTAAAGCTCTGTGGTACGTAACTGTTTATTGGAGACAAATTAAGTAGATCCAAACTGTGGACATTAATTAAGGGAAGTCTGGACGGGATCTAACGACACGAATCAAGTCTTCCTCAATAAAAATTCCAAATAAAGTTTCTACGCCTTCCCGAGGACCACAAAACCTTTTTTTTTTTACCACCAGAAACATCTGCTTTACCATTACTGAAAGGTATTACGAATCTATCAGAACCAACATCTAAAGCCTGACCAGGGTCCATCAGAACCTGTTCAGCTTCGACAGGTTTATAAAGGAGCATGAGATCAGTCCTCACCTCTCTCTCGATGATGGGCCCGTCTCCGTTGATGGAGTTGGCGTTGAGCTGGATCCAGAGGTATGTGGCTCCGACTGCTGTCAGCTGAGGGGGGGCGATTGGTACCGGGGGCTCTGGGAAGACCAACAGAACCCAGATCAGTTTGAAACATGGAGAACCACAGGCATACACTCCTCAGGGTTTCACTGATCTCTTAACGAGAGGGGAGGAGGTAAACGAGTTAATTAATATTTGTGACCTTCGGCGAATCACAGCAGACCTGGATTCTATTACCCAGAATCCTCGGTGGAGCTGCTCCACTTCCTCCTGACCCAGTTCATCTCTCACACACACACACACACACACACACACACACACACACACACACACAC